CAAATTTATTGACTATTTGATTTTATTTTCCATAGCTCATTCATATCCTTTCCATTTTACAATTAGCCTAACTCACCATGGGGGCTTTTTAGAACAGACTCTCAGTAGGCCTGGGGAAGGACCAGACATTCTCAATTCCTAACAAGCTCCTAGGTGATGTCCCTGCAGCTAGTTCAGTGACACGCTTTAAATAGCGAGGCCCAAGAGAAACTCTTGAGCATATCCTCAAGGGACATACACGAAGATGTTCATTAGAGCGCTGATGGTATTGCTGAGCACCTGAACACTACTGAGGTGAGCGGATGGCTAAGTTTGTAGGGTTGGATGCGAGAGTGGAAAACTGGAGTTACACATGCCAACCTAGATGAATCTCAAAAACAATGCTGGGCAGAAAAAAAGCAAGTTGCAGGAAGGATACATAGGATAGGATATTTAAAATTTTATATAATACTGTGGATTGTTTAGGGATATATGCTTATACAGTAAAAGAATATAGTCTTGTGTGGGAATGATAAACATCAAAATTACGACAGTGAGGGGTGCCTGGATGGCAGTCAGTAGAGCATGCGGCTCTTGATCTTGGGGTTGTAAATTCAAGCCCTTGTTGGGTGTAGAGATTACTTAAAAGTCTTTTTAAAAAAATTATGGCAGGGGTGCCTGGTGGCTCAGTAAGTTAAGTGTCTGACTTCAGCTCAGGTCATGATCTTGTGGTTTGTGGGTTTGAGCCCCATGTTGGGCTCTGTGCTGACAGCTCAGGGCCTGGAGCCTGCTTCAGATTCTGTCTCCCTCGCTCTCTTGCTTGCACTTTGTCTCTCTCAAAAATAAATAAACAATAAAAAAATTTTAAAAGAAAAGAAAAATTGTGGCCATGATTATTTGGGCAAGGCAGGGCACTGGGGATTGGGAGGGTATATGGCAATTCAGTTACACTGTAAAGCTTTAGTTACTAAACTGGGTAAACTGGGTAAATTTACCCAGTTAAATAATACAACTGTCTGTTACATTACTTTCTATATTTTGTACATCTGAAGTATCTCATTCAACAACCAAAACAACAAAACAAATAGCCTCCTTTTTTTTTTTTTAAGATGAAGATACTGAGGCTCAAGAACCTAACCTGTGCCAAACTTGTAATCCAGGCAGCAGATTTTTTTTTTTCTTAATGTTTGTGTATTTTGAGAGAGAGAGAGACAGAGCACTGGCAGGGGAGGGGCAAACAGAGAGTGGGGGACACAGAACATGACAGGCTCTGAGCTGTCAGCACAGAGCCCGACAGGGGGCCTGAACTCACGCACGGTGAGATCTTGACTGGGGCTGAAGTCAGACACTTAACCAAATGAGCCACCCAGGTGCCCCCAGGCTGCACTTTTATATTACTATGCTGCTTCAGATTAACAACACAGAACATGGGTTCACCAAGTCAACGGCAAAACTCTGTCCCCAGGTTTGGTTTCCACAAAGGTGGAATCAAACGGTATGCTCAAGTATTTGCTGTGGGACATGATGCACACTGAAAAGAACAGGTTTTGACCTCTAATAACTAGTTCAAAACAAAGTGCCTAAAAACACTTGCTTTGCCTTTTTTTTTTTAAGTTTGTTTATTTATTTTGAGAGAGAGAGAGAGCAAGCCAGGAAGGGCAGAGAGAGAATCCTAAGCAGGCTCTGTGCTTACAGAGCCTGACACAGGACTCAAACCCATGAACCATGAGATCATGACCTGAGCTGAAATCAAGAGTTGGATGCTCAACTTACTGAGCCATCCAGGTGCCCCCAACATTTGCTTTGCTTTTGGACTTAGTCTAAAGCATTTGCTTTGGGGGGCGCCTGGGTGGCTCAGTCAGTTTAATCATCTGACTTTGGCTCAAGTCACGATCTCATGATTCCTGACTTCAAGCCCTGCTTCAGGTGAGCATGAGCCCCACCTCTCCCTCCCTCCCTCTCTCTCTCTGCCCCTCACTCACTTGTGCCATCTCTCTCTAATATATAAATAAAACATTTGTTTCGGTACCAGATAAAATAGGCTGTTAAAAGAGGCCCATTATTTAAGAGAAAAGAAAATACCCAAACACTTGAAAACAAACCCTAATGTAAGTTTAATAAGCCTTGGAAGAGTCCCTCTTAGTTTGTCTCCTAGTTTTCCAGTGGTCATGAAGCAAAGTGGGGGAGGAGGAGAACAGGGGATCATTCTGTGAAGGTGGTATACTGACCTGCCAGCTGTAAAGACTTGAAACAAAATGTCAGAGGAAGCAAGTAGTCAAAGGCTAATTTTCCTACCCTTGCCATGTCGCCCAGCATGTTGCCTGCCTAGCCCAGACCTGTTGGAGCCACCACCTTCCTGCTTTGTTCTGTTCTCCTCAGTTCCTGTTCCTGAACTTAGTTATGCCTCTGTTTTGCCCCAAATCTCTTAGAAATATGTTAGCGGTGGGGCACTTGGGTGGCTCAGTCTGTTAAGCGCCGACTTCAGCTCAGGTCATGATCTCACAGTTTGTGAGTTCGAGCCCCGCGTCGGGCTGTGTGCTGACAGCTCAGAGCCTGGAGCCTGCTTCGGATTCTGTGTCTCCGTCTCTGCTTCTCCCTCACTCATGCTCTGTCTCCTCTCTCGCTCAAAAATAATAAACATTAAAAAAATAAAAAAAAAATATGTTAGTGGCAGGGAGATAGAAAGGGATGGGCTGCAGGGTCAGGAAAAGCCTGGGTTTACATCCTTCCCATGCCACTAGTGTGCAACTCACTAGACTTGAGACAATGTATCCAGGCCAGTACTGTCCCAGCAGAATGTATTAGGATGATGGATATGTTCTGTACCTACACTGTCCAGTATGGTGTCCCTAGCCCCAGGTGACTATTGAGCACTTGAAATGTGGCTAGTGTGATAGAGGACTTGAATTTTTAATTGTATGTAATTTTCTTTAACTTAAATAGTCACAAGACTAATGGCTCCCATATCGGACAGAGCAAGTGTGGAAAATGGAGAATCAATCCCTCCTTTCACAGAAGATCGCAGTGTGATAATAGGAGATACTCTGATAAAGGGTCCTACTATTAAACTATATCCTGCCTTGAAAGACCCTCAGGGAAGAGTATTGAATGAACATTCTCAAACACTCACTGTCCTGATAAGGCGGTCTCTGTGAGTGTGCTTGGGTGGGCCTGCTTCACACTTGCTATCTCCCCACACCATATGCAACTTTTTTTTTTTCTGCTTTTTTTTTTTTTTTACAATAGTTTATTGTCAAATTAGTTTCCACATAACACTCAGTGCTCATCCCCACAAGTGTCCTCCTCCATGCCTATCCCCCCCTCCCACCCACATCCATCAGTCCTCAGTTTTTGTCAGCATTCAAGAGTCTCTCCTGGTTTGCCTCTCTCCCTTTCCCCCACCATTTCCGCCCTTCTTCTCCCCCTTGTTCCTCCGTCAAGTTCCTCCTAATCCTCCTATACGTGCAAACATATGATATTTGTCCTTCTCTGCCTGACTTATTTCGCTCAGCATAACACCCTCAAGGTCCATCCATGTTGCTACACATGGCCAGATTTCATTGTTTCTCATTGCCATGTAGTATTCCATGGTATAGATAAACCACATCTTCTTGATCCATTCATCTGTTGATGGACACTTAGGCTCTTTCCATGTTTTAGCTATTGTGGAGAGTGCTGCTATGAACATTGGGGTACATGTGCTCCTATGCCTCAGCATTTCTGTATCCCTTGGGTAAATTCCTAGCAGTGCTATTGCTGGGTCATAGGGGAGTTCTATTGTTAGTTTCCTGAGGAACCTCCACACTGTTTTCCAGAGGGGCTGTACCAGTTTACATTCCCACCAACAGTGTAGGAGGGTGCCCGTTTCTCCACATCCTCGCCAGCATCTAGAGTTCTCTGATTTGCTCATTTTAGCCACTCTGACTGGCGTGAGGTGGTATCTCAGTGTGGTTTTGATTTGTATTTCCCTGATGAGGAGGGATGCTGAGCATCGTTTCATGTGTCTGTTGGCCATCTGGATGTCCTCTTTGGAGAAGTGTCTGTTCATGTCTTCTGCCCATTTCTTCACTGGGTTGTTTGTTTTTCGGGCGTGTAGTTTGGTGAGTTCCTTATAGATTCTGGATATTAACCCTTTATCTGATATGTCATTTGCAACTATCTTTTCCCATTCCGTTGGTTGCCTATTAATTTTCTGGGTTGTTTCCTTGGCTGTGCAGAAGCTTTTAATCTTGATGAGGTCCCAACAGTTTATTTTTGCTCTTGATTCCCTTGCTTTTGGGGATGTGTCAAGTAAGAAGTTGCTGTGGTGGAGGTCAAGGAGGTTGTTTCCTGCTTTCTCCTCTAGGGTGTTGATAGTTTCCTGTCTCACATTCAGGTCCTTTATCCATTTTGAGTTAATTTTTGTGTATGGTGTGAGAAAATGATCTAGTTTCATTCTTCTGCATGTTACTGCAACTTTTTTTTTTAATGTTTACATATTTATTTTGAGACAGACGGAGGGAGGGAGTGGGAGCACATGCAAGCAGGGAAAGGGGCAGAGATAGGGAAAGAGAATCCTAAGCAAGCTCCCACCTGTCAGCATGGAGCCCAACGTGGGACTCGATCTCATGAATCATGAGATCATGACCTGAGGTGAAGAGTTGGACGCTCAACTGACTGAGCCACCCACGTGCTCCAGCAACTCTGAATTTCTGAATACTGCCTGAGGATGCAACTGAGGTAGGCTGGTGTAAACAAGTTTGTTTCTTTCTCTTGTTTCTTCTTTCCTTACTGTGCTGATTAAACAAATGACTATATTTCCAGAAACCCATTTTTAAATTCTTATGTGACACTATTTGACATTCTTTAAGTTTCCAGATAGAAAATGTTTCTCATTTTCTCCAGTTAAACTAATCATATCATTATGTACCAAATGCTTTAAACTAAAGAGACTATCTATCTACATAGGTTAAAAATATACAAAGGCATCCATTTTTAGAAACACAAATCAAGCAGCACCAATTTTATTTTATGGTGTTTATTAAAGTAAAAGTTCCTTTTGTAAAACATTAGTGATTTTGGTCCTTATCTTATTTTCCATTAGGCTTTAAAACACTTTACATTATTTACAAAATAAATTGTAATTTTTATGATTGTACATAATTTTTTTGACCCTTGGAATATTACAGTTTCAAGTAACTAAACAATAAACAGCTGGCAGACTAAGTGTACATCCTGAACATATTTAATTACCACAGTAATTTGAAAGTCTTGATCTTTACTTCTTAAGATTAAAATGCACCATCATGAAGTCATTCAAGAATCTCTGGAATTTCTCTATTATCCACAATGAGACTGTGGATAATCCCTTCTTTCCGCTTCCCACTACTGACAGCCTTTATGTAACAGTCATGGTTCCCAACACTGAAGTGAGTTTCCGTCCCGTCATCTACAAACTCACCCTAGGCCAACAAAAGAAGGAGGGATTAGTGTTCCAGAAACATTTATCTTTGTCTAGAGCACTGACACCATCTAAAAGGGTAGTATAATGAAGTATCTATCAGCTAAACGTTAAACTGTGGAAAATTAGAAGCTTGTATTACTAGATGCTTTTACATCTCTGCTATGAACTGAAAGTTTCTTATTTGTACCCATTTACAATTTGAAGAATCTTGTTTCAGAGGGAAAAAAAACCCCTTAAACCTCATGGCTAGGTGTCTATAACATGTACTATGTAGACAGTACCAACTACTTTTAAAAGTAAAAATGATAAACATGATCGCGAACACTTATTTTATACCAAGTTACTTGTTCTATGCCAAGAACAGTTTGTGTGCATTATTTCAGGGCATATATTGTGAGCAGTAACCCTGACCATCTATAGTACTAGAAGTATTATTACTATCCACACTGCAGAGGTGAGGAAGTTGAGGCACAGAGTGGTAAAATAGCTGCTGAGGGCCCCAGTCAGGAAGGGATGGGATGTTCTTATTCACTCTCTAAATCTGATTCCTCAGAATGTAAGGTGGCTTACAGTAAAAATAAACAGATCACATAAAGGCAAACACTACAGATTCTAGACCATTCTACCAGACACAGTAGCTACCGGCCACACATGGCAATCAAGCACGTGAAATGTGGGGACTCTGAAATGCGATGTGCTGTTTAAACGTAAAATATACACTGAGTATGGAAGACTTAGAATGAAAGAGAATGTAAAGTAACTCTAAAAACTTTTTATATTGATTACATGTTAATTGATAACATTTTGGATATACAGATTTAAATCAATTGTATTATTAAGATAAACTTCACCTTTAGACTTTTTAAATGTGGCTACTAGAAAAGTTACACATGAAACTCCTATCTGTGACTCATGCTGTGTTTCTACTGAACATCTAGAGTGAAAAGATAGGGGCCGAGTAGTACAGAGAAGGAAGGAAGAACAGGAGGCTTGGAGGATAAACGTGAATTCTGCCAGAAAGCAAAGAAACGACAATCAGACTTAAAACTTGGCTATGAGCTTCCTGGCAGCCAAAGCAGGCAGAGCAAGGTCCCAGAGCTGACATTACCCAACCAATGAAAGCAGGGGGTGTACTGGGGAGAGCTTTTTCTGAGCTCTGGGAAGAAGCTGCCCAATGGTTCTTTGAGGGAGGTGTACTGACACCACCACAAGGACCGTGCACGGGCACAATCTGACAGATATATTATTTTGGTCATGAGGCTTTGAGATGAAAAGAAAAAGGAGAAAGTAAACTGTAACTCACAGGTGTGCACAGTACTGGGGAAGGCTGCCCAGATGCAGTGCTGCCAACACTACCCTGCAAATTAGGTTCTAGTTACAATAAGGAGGCAACTGGGTTGTACAGGGCTATTGTCCAAACACTTGTGCTTCCCTGTTAATTGCTGCGGAACAAAGACATTGTGGACGCACATTACTGTTACCTTCTTATTTACGACCACATTCTTAATACCACAAAACAACTTTCTCTCTACATCTGCAATGGAGAATTTCTTGAGGGTGGGAGGGGAAAGGATTCAAAACCACTGATCTAGTATCTAGAGAACTGCAGGGCAGGAAAGAAGAGGAAGGACCACGAGGTGTGGCGCTGGGTACAGAGCAGGTGTCCTGATCAGTGTTAACGGGTTCCGCAAGGGGCCATGAAACACTGAAGCTCACTAAGCCTCTCTGCACAAAAGAAGTCTCTTAACAGTGGATTCAACTTGGAGAGTGAGTGGCGCAAGCTCTGGGGCTCATTATTTGAGTGAGCCCTGGTTAAATATCCCTTCAAGAATTCATACCAGGAGTAAGAAAGAGAGAAGTCTTCATGTTTGTAACCTCTGCTTTCTAGCGTGGGCACTTCCTTGGAAGCAGACAGCCACGAGACCCAGCAGGCCTTCGGGAGCCTGGACCTCCTGCCTTCCGAGCACCTCTTCCCACCTTCATGTACCCACAATAGACAAGGAGACGATGGCAGCAACTACAATGTGCAACTAGCTAAAATGCCACAACAGCAGTTCAGGGCAGTCAGCCTGAAAGGCGGGGATGAGGCACAGCGCCCCCTGCTGGCCAGAAGACCCCACAGCCCTCGGAACGGCCACCCAGGGATGTGAGCTCCCAGTCGCACACTTAGTGCTTCCCATGCTGGTCTCCTTTACCTCCACTTGCTCCCTGTGCTGTGCACACCGCTATTACTTCATTCTAGCTGAATTCACTCCAGTATCCATCCCACCCACAGCCATAACAATGCAAACAGCTGACAGCAGGAGCCCAACACTCTGGGGTTAGACGCGGATGTTATCGTGCTTGGCCACGAGTGGGGTAGCCTTCTGGCACCGCTGGTCTACAAATTCCACTTGTCTTCTGGGGTTTGCAACCATGCCCTTTCCTCTCTGCCTCTGTGCCATCTGACACTGTACATCACTTCTTTTTCAAAACCTTTGCTTTTAGAAAAGTACCATCTGCTTTGAGTGTATGGTGTATGTAAAGCCTTCCTATTCAAAGTGTGACCGTGGGCCCACATGCAGCACTGGCATCACCAGGGGAAGTGTCATAATTTGCATTTTAACAAGATCCCAGGTGATTCCTACGCATACAGATTTGAGAAGGTGAGAAATAGAGCCCCCACTTTAACTTGGATAAACACAGGAGGAGGCCAACCTTTGTGGGAGGAGTTTTTGATGTGCGAAAGCTTTTTAGGACTGAACCTGGTCCAGGAGAGGAGAGGTGCCAACTGGTGAGAGCTGACGCCAGCTCACAACATCAGGTGTTTCCATGCCTTCCTGTCCCAGGTGCTGTCTGGGGAAGGTCTTCAGAAATTGGGGTCAAGGGTACTTTATCTTTCTTGTTCTTAACCGAGACGACCTTGGCTAATTATCAATCTCCACAATTAGGAAATGCAGCAACAATTCAATGGCAACTTTACACACGGTGCTAAGAATAATCAGAGGGTCAACTTACTGCTGTCTCCATTCTTTTCCCATTGCACCATACATCCATAGTGTCTTTTTCTGTAAAAGCAGCAAATTAAAAAAAAAATTACAATCTATGACTTAAAGATAAAGTTAACTCTTCATTCTTTTAAGAAAAGTTTGATATACTGGATTTCTAAAACGCCATTAACTTTTCATGGCTTTCAAATTCTCCTAAAAGTTGAAGAAACTGTTTACTCTTGATTCAGAGACAAAACAAAAATTAAACAAAACACTCTTTTAAGAGAAAATCATGGTCTCAGTACAAATGGACAAAGCTTTGTTAAAATAAACGCCTCAGCACAAACTTCAGGATTTAAGAGGATGCACAGAAATGAACGTGAGGAAGGAGCTTTTCACATGGACTGTCATCGTGACCAGATGACTCCCCTGCCTGTCACACTGAGCCAACTGGATGATGGCACAGAAAGGCCACCAAGAAAGGCTGCCACGAGGTTCACACAGGATGGACAGCATGTCAGGCTTAGAAATTTAGCCTTCAATTTTCTACTGGACAGCACAAGATTCTCTCTTCATTTCTGCAATAGTTTCACTTTGGGGGAAATTACTGGATTATAAAAACCAACAATACAGGTGTGCCCAGTGGAGTGCGCTGGGTACGGTACAAACGCTACAGGGCCATGTGCTGCCACGATTCACCTGGGTGTTGGTTAAGCTGCCAGAGCTCACCTTGGGAGGTGTGCATTGTGTGCGCATGTGCACAAACACATGTGCGTTTGGGGGAGGATCGGATCCCCAGGCCCACTTGTGAACATCTGTGTGCTGGCAGGTGGCAGGAGAGAAGCCTGCAGCCCCCAGGCAGCCAGAGGATGAGCTGTAGGTATTATAGCGAAGGCTAGAAAGAATCGTGAGTCAGGCGCAGCCTTGCCTGGGGGTCAAGGCTGAGGTGCTAGTCAGGGGCTTAATTCTGACAGGCCACCTACTCCAGGAACACGGTCTAATAGGGATTCTTTTCTCCCCACACCTTGAGATGGGAGCCTCAGAGAGTGGAGAGACGCCTCTGAGCTGGGCTAAAAGGAGAGAGAGGCAGAGGGGCCCAAACGAGGTAGGCACATGTTGCCCTGGTGGCTGCCTGAGCCAGAGGCATCCCCAGCCGCAGCCGCAGGGACACCCTGCTTGTCCCAACACCTGATCAGAGCACGCAGTGCTAAACTAAACCTGACGGCAGTGAGAACTGGAATTTTACTTAGTATGCCTACTGGACATGTGCTTGCATGCAGATTCCCTCTAAAGCTATTATTAATGTGCCTCTGAAGAAACCTGCTAATCCAGAAGCCATAAAAGAAAAATGGCATAAGTCTGACTACATAAAAGTAAAGAATATTTCTGCATGGTTTGAAAAAACATGTACACACATAAGCAAACTCATACAATAAATGACAAACTGGGAAGAACGAAGTGAAGCTCACAGCACAGACAAAAGTCTAACCTTGAGAAAAAGACCAATAACCCAAAAGAAAGTGGGTCAATGGACATGAAGACGTATTATCAGAAAAGAAACACAAAAGGATCTCAAACATGAAAAGATGCTCAACTTCACTTCATTTTGAAAAAGGCAAATACAAACAACACTGAAATACCATTTTTCATGCAGCAGAATATCAAAGAAATGACAAAATCTGACACCATGCTTAGCTGGAGAACCTGTGGGGAAGTGGGTACTTTGGAGCACAAACCGGTAAAAGCACCAGGAGAGACGACCAGGCACCATCTCCTCAAACGACAAGGGCAGTGATGTGGGACCCAGTGGCCCTACTTTCCCACTTCTGGGATTTTATATTAAAGAGATACATGACCTATATTCCAAGAGGCAGGTGAACAAAGCTTCTAACAGCTGCAGGTTAGAAATAGCCCAACCGCCCATCCATCAGGGATGAGTTAGGTATTTTATTTACTATTGAGACTTCCTCCGCAGCTATAAAAAATGTATGAGAAAGTTCTTTACGTGCTGATAGAAGAGGATTCTCTGAGTATACGAGTAAATCAATAAAGCAGGATGCTTTTGTGAAATAAGGCAGTAATATGATATTTGTATTTGCTTGAATCTGAATAATGAAGTACTGGAAGGGCTCATTATTTTTTTTTAAAAAAAGCAGCTTATCTTTACTGTGGAAATAGGGTGGAAGTAAATTTCTCCATGTACCTTTTTGTATCATTATGATTTCTGGATCATGGGTCTAGCACCTATTCAAGTATGTATGTTAAAAAAAGAACACATCTGTTCGATAAAGTACTCAGTCACTGCTGCTCAGAAGTGGATCACTGAATCCTAGGAAGGCCTAGAGCAGTGCATCCTGGGGCCTCTTCTCTCTGCCTGCCTGCAGCATCTTTTTTTAAAATGATTATTCATTTTTGAGATACAGAGAGAGACAGAGCATGAGTGGGGGAGGAGCAGTGAGAGAGGGAGACACAGAATCTGAAGCAGGCTGCAGGCTCTGAGCTGTCAGCATAGAGCTGGATGCAGGGCTGGAACCTACAATCTGAGAGATCATGACTTGAGCCGAAATCAGACGCTTAACTGACTGAGCTACCCAGGCGCCCCGTGAGTATCTTTAACGTATACCCAGATTATGCTCTTGTAATACCATTTTCCTCTATTAGAAACCAGGGCTTTTTCGAAAAAAGGGTGATTTCAGGTCTGAGTAAAAAATGTTCAAAATGAGCCTTGGTATCTTGTCATACCAGACTGCAAGGAGGCTTTCAACCAAGGATGTGACTCCTTTAGGAGTCAACCTACAGAACACACCACTGGCCAAAATTGGGACAATCTGAGGGTCAATAAGAATAATAACTTCAATATGTTGTGACACACATCAAATCGTTTAAATCCATGAGTTAATAATGACCAAAAAACCCTAAATGATCACCTTTAGAGGAGAATATGTTCCAATTCAGCATTTTGAAAACTGATAAAGGGAAAACAAATGTTATTCTGCATTTCTTATTCAAATTGTACCTCTGTGCAACCAAACGGTAGATGACAGGAAGTTTCTCATTTTAGCAATATTCCAGAATATCACCATTTGGCCACTGCTAATGAATTAGCGGGTGCAAACATGAGGTATTAGAGGTTGCCAACATTAAAAAAAAATTGACAAACATCATGTGCCTCTTGATATAACAAAATTATAAAGTAGTCTTGCCAGAAAAAAAACCAAAGCTAAATTTGACTAATTCTTCAGTCAACTACCAATGTATAGGAAATATCAGAGAAATAGGGTGCCTGGCTGGCTCAGTTGGTAGAGCATGTGACTTGAGCTCAGGGTTGCAAGTTTGAACCCCACATTGGGTATAGAGATTACTTAAAAATAAAACATTTAAATATATATATATTTAAAATATATATTTTTAACTTATATTAATAAAAACATTTTAAATATATGTGTATATATATATATATATATATATATATATATATATATATAACAGAAAAAGATACAGAGAAAAATCACAGAAATGCAATCCACAAAATCCAGACCACAGGAAACTCTTCAAGACAAAATGATCCATTTCTCCAATAAATAAACTATTCAGGAGTTTCTGGTTTCTTTTTTTTCCAACTATGTGCATTTAATTACTTGATCAGCATTTTTCATTCTTTTTTTAAGTGATTTCTACACCCAATGTGGGGCTCAAACTCATGACCCCGAGATTAAGAGTCACATGTTCTTCCAACTGAGCAAGCTAGTGCTCCAAACATTTTTCATTCTTTTTTAAGATTTTAGTTTTATGTCGTTTCTACACCAACATGGGGCTCAAACTCACAACCCTGAGACCAAACTCTCTGAGCCAGCCAGGAACCCCAACACTTTTCATTCTTAAAAAAAATTGTTTTAAACGTATTTGCGGGGGTGCCTGGGTGGTTCAGTCGGTTAAGCATCTGACTCTTGATTCCGGCTCAGGTCATGATCTCACCATTCATGAGTTCAACCCTTGCATTGGCCTTTTCGCTGACAATGCAGAGCCTGCTTGGGATTCTCTGTCCCCCTCTGTCCCTTCCCCTTACTCAAAAAATAAATAAAAACTTAAAAAAAAAATAAAAAGGTGTTTGCTAGCTAGACTGCAGACTCTTTAAAGGAATGGACAACATCTCTTCATCTATGGATTCTCAGTGCCTGGTTATACTAACTGGTATTCAGTAGGTACTCGATATTATCTAAATAAGTGAAATCCGTGAATTAACAAGATCATCCAAATGGTCTTAACTTAATGATTTGAGAAGCAGGAAATACTAGGAGTACCAGAAGAGAGAAAAGATAGTAACTAGTAAATATTTGTCTCTTAAGTTTTGAAGGCCCAGTAGAAACAACACAGATGGCAATCTGTAACAAAAGACCTTAATTTAAAGACCAATGGCTTATTACTTTTTATTTTTTAATCTACTTCATCTGGACTTTGACAATTTTGATCTGTTGCAGTACTAAGCCGAAACCTAGAATTTTTCCCTGGTAGAAAGATTACTAATTAATCTTAAATTTCCAACTGTCTTTTTTTTTTTTTTTTAATGTTTGTTTATTTTTGAGAGAGAGAGAGAGAGGGAGACCCAGAATTGGAACTAGGCTCCAGGCTCCGAGCTATCAGCACAGAGCCCAAAGTGGGGCTCAAACTCGCTGACCATGAGATCATGACTCGAGCTGAAGCTGGATGCTTAACCAATTGAGCCACCCAGGTGCCCCTCCAACTGTTTTTACACATCTCTTTAAAGAGAAATATCATAATAATAAAGAATAGAAATATCAATAATAATTATAAATGTCTACATTAATATTTCTTTTTTTTAAACCTGTTTATCATCCTTAAAACCATCACTCTAAAATCTGGTTCTCACATTTCAATTAAATGAATACTTCATTCACATAGGGCACATCAGAAATACACCTACATTGTGGCATCTGGGTGGCTCAATCTCATGGTTTGTGAGTTTGAGCCCCACATTGACCTCTGAGCTGACAGCTGGGAGCCTGGAGCCTGCTTCTGATTCTGTGTCTGGCTTTCTCTCTGCCCCTCCCCAACTAATGCACATGCTCGCTCTCTTTGTCTCAAAAATAAACAAACATTAAAAAAAAAAACAGAAGAAATATAGCTAGCCTCACACTCTGTCTATTCAAAGCTCCCACAGAGGGACTAATTAACAATGATCATAAAAAGCCAATGAATTCTGCAGAAACAGCACTCACCCAAGACAACTCTAAAGTCCTCACCATCCAAATGTAATACCCAAGTATTGGTGGTTTTTGACCTGTTCTCCATATACTTCTTGAGACTCTTCCCATTAATTTCCAGAGTATATTCATATGCAAATCCACTGACAGCATCTATATTTATGGTTGCTTTTGTCTTTGCAGCTCCAACGCAGAAGGTTTCTTTGCCTACTAATTTGAACATCCATTCTTTTCTTATCTCTTCCTAAGCAATAAAATACAAAAGTTGAAAACACACAAATGAAGATAATTTAATATTTACAGAAAGGCTATAGTTTTTAAAAGATTTTTATTATTTTTAAAGTTTATTTCTTTTGAGAGAGAGAGAGAGCGAGCGAGTGTGGGGGAGTGTTAGAGAGAGAGGGAGAGAGAGAATCCCAAGGAGCCTGAAGAGGGCTTGAGCTCACAAACCATGGGATCATGACCTGATATGATTAGCTGACTGAACCACCCAGGTGCCCCAAGAAATGGTATAATTAAAGTGAGTAAATAGCAATGCTATTTAGGTATAATTTTATTCTTTCATGATCAAATATTTTAGAAAATAAAAGCACTTGAAGTTTAAGTGTTATAGTGTATGGATTCTGTAACTATAATTAGTTTGCTTTGTCCAGCAAAATGTTACAGGCCAAAATATAAAGATAGCCACTGTAAGAGAAAAACCCTGAATTCATATGTGAAGAATCTATGTTAATAAAATCCAGCATTTTTTTTCCTACCTTCCCATCTACATATACCACTCGTTTGCCTGATGTGGTCCCATGTTCAAATTCAATCTTATGGACTCCGTCACTTAAAGCAACATCCCAAACGGCCACGAGATCTGTCATTTTTTCCAAGCTATAAGGAGGGCTAAGGGAATAAAATAAAGCAATTACAACAGACCAAAACCAGTAAGAAAATAACAAATTAATCTTTCCAGACAAAACATCAGATTTTTTAACCCATAAAGTTATAAAATATTAGAGTGATAGTAACTAAGAAATTCTACTCACAGTACATAAAACTATCTTCTCCCTCTTGTGCACTCTTCCTTTAAGATGAAACTACTATATATGGGTATGTAGTCAGATAATTCCAAACAAAGTCACCTTAATATTAATAGGCTTAAGAGCCGATCAGTTTATCCAGGATAGTATTCTAAGCTGGGCTACAGAATAATGCTTGGAAAGGTCAGTAAAACGTCTCTACTTCTCCCCTGCACCCTCATTTAAAAAGCACAGTATTTAATTCTGGTTTTTCTTTTTCAGATCCATTCACTCCAAAACAAAAACTCTCCAAACCTTTCATACTTAAACCAATTAGGATTCATTTGAACAAAAAGGGTTCTAATTTATTATACTAAGAAAAATAAAAGTCATAGAAAAAATATCCTATAGTAAAAGAGAAAAAAATGTATGGAAAATGGTAATTCTTGTCCTTACTATACTAATCTTATTTAAAAAATAAAGGATTCTGTTTTGTCATAAGTTTCTGGCACAACTTAAATACATGTTTGATTTTAATATTTTAATATAACGTCTCTAACATTTATCCTATGTCATATATACAATATATATATTATGTTACATAATACATACATAAAATATTTTTGAGCCTGTTCTCTTAACTACATCTTACTCTTTATTCACTCTAATGTCCTTTGTGTGCTCTACATCAGAAATGGTAAATGGATTTTTTGTTATTTTGAAGTGATTGCCAGGAACTCTGTGCTAAGATGGGCTTGAGGACCTTACATCAGGCCCTATGGGAAAATGCCAAGTGTTTACTACCCTTGCTCTAAATCACAGAAAAGCAAAACCAAGCATTCTGCCACTTTACAAAATGTGTCCTTAACAAAGTAGCCTGGATAAATAAATCTTGAGTGATTAAAACAATCTTAAAAGTTTCAAAAGCCAGTTTTACTGCCATGCAAGACATTTACCTTTCGTCATCTTCAAAGATAGGACTGTCATCTCCAGATGCCATGGTTGGCAAAATAGCCTTTAATCCAATTAGCAGCCAGGAAAGAAAAAAGCAGAATTGCAGCAAAGAAAGGTTGAGAGCAACAAAGATAACATCTGCAAAGGGTTTTTTCTAAGTTTGCAATCCATTTCTTAAATTGCATGCAGTTTCTGATGAAACCAGCTTTTACATACAATAGAATTGCAATCTCCAATTTCAGGAAAAGAAATTAAGTCATTCAAATTGGCCAATCATATTTTTCCCTGTTACAAATTTATAATTTCCTAAAACTGGAGAATAAACTCTAGTTTATTTCAAATATTATACCACATCAGAGCTGCAAGAGACCTAGAGATCCTCTGGGTCCTGTACGTCTCAAATCGAGGTATAAGAAGCCCCAAGGGAGTGAGGCAATGGGTGAGGGAATACATAAAACCCAAGATAAACAGAATGCATCTTGAGGAAGCATCAATGTCACAGGGTGGTAACAAATTTAAATGCAATCATAATATTAAATTTTAAACGTCTATATATTACAGTGGAATATATAATTTGAAAATTTGGGGGAGGGCACATGGCTGGCTCAGCCAATAGAACATGCAACTCTTGATCTCGGGGTCATTAAGTTCAAGCCCCACAGTGGGTATAGAGCTTACTTAATTAAAAAAATAATAAATAATAAATTTAAAAATGTTTAGATAACTTCAAAGAAAGGACAAGTTTGCAGGAAGCAGCAAAGGATATGCTAGTGCTGTTTTCCAACTGCAAACTTAATTTACCCACTTACTCAAGCCCACTTAATTTACTAGTGCCAATAATGAATCCACAAAAGTTATGTGGTTTGCTCAGGTCACTAGTAGGGCCTGAGCCAGAACTAGAGCCCAGTACTCCAATGCAAAATACCTCCGAATTAACTGGGCTATAATACAAATTAAATTGTACTAAAATCAAAAGCACACATATTCACACATGCATAGGAAACCCTCCACATTTGGAGATCTGAGATTAACAGCCTGTACCCCTGCCAAACCTACCAAAAAACAGGTTCAAGTATTTTTTGCTTCCAAGATCTACTCTGGCCTAGCCTTTTCCCTAGAGCTGCCCAAGGGTGCTCTCTCCTTGTTAAAAATGGGAGATTGCCCAACTTCTTTAGCTGGAAACAGTCAGAAGCCACAAACTGTTTTTAAAAGGACGTTAACGAAGAGATTAGTATTGATAAAAGCAATCCAACAGGCAAAGAAAACATACAAATTTTAGAATAAAAACTAGATAAAACTTCAAAACACTTTGTACCTAAAATAAATCTTTTTTTTTTTTTTGGTAGCACCTTAAAAACTTGTGAATTTTTCTAGTCTTTTTTTTTTTTTTTTAAATGTTTTATTTATTTCTAGGAGAGAGAGAGACAGCGCGAGCAGGGGAGGGTCAGAGAGAGAGGGAGTCACAGACTGAAACAGGCTCCAGGCTCTGAGCTGGCAGTCAGCACAGAGCCCGACGCGGGGCTCGAACCCACGAACCGCGAGATCATGACCTAAGCGAAAGCCGGACGCTTAACCGACTAAGCCACCCAGGCGCCCCTGAATTTTTCTAGTCTTAAGAAGCACTAGGATATCTCCTATGAAAGTGGAGGGTATCCTGCAACTATAAAAGCAAAGAGAATACACAGCAAAAGGAAGCCAAATAGAAGAATATAACCTTGGATAAGCCATCCTTTGCACATCAGAGTGGGCTTAGGGATACCATTCAAATTTTGCTTTGTAACTTTTAGAGACCCTATAAAGCTCAGTAATTCAGCATTCAAACTTGAAAGAATTGCCCAGTTTTCCATTATAAGAAACTTCAATATTATTACAGAAAGATAAAAGCATGGTACCATCTTAATTATAACTTTTCATATAGAAGTATAAAAGACAACACAACAAATTAGAAGGGAAGTGAGAAATCAAAATCACATTTATTTTTTGAAAAATTTCCCTACATTCATTTATTTATGGAGTATCTACCTAAGGTGCTGAAAAGTTTTGGAACTAGTGATGGTCGCACTCATTGGTGAATGAACTTAATGTCACTGAACTGTACACTTAAAGATGGTTAAAATGGCTGGGGCACTGGGATGGCTGTTGGTTAAGCATCCAACTCCAGCTCAAGAGTTATTATACTTCAACTAAACTGTTAAAAAAAAAAAAAAAAAAAAGACCTAGGTGCCCTTCTGGTAGTGTTTCTTGGAATGTGATTATATCTATAACCGAAAGATGATCACAACTGTCCTTGTCCCCAATATCTATGTTACTCATTTGAATAATGATAAATATCTGTCACACGCCTCTATGTTACAAACTGGACTTATTCTAAATATTCATTCACATGCTAGTAGTTATCAGTCACTTATGTGCGGGGCACTCAGCTGGACACTGAGCCCAGAGCGAGGGGCTCTAGAAAGACCAAAAGATGATTACAACAGAACCATGGGAGTGTCCTAGAAAAGGGAAGCAGTGAAGGGCAGAATAGGCCCACAGAGATGGGATACTAGCCTCGCTAAATGGGTGGGAAGGCCAAAGAAGACTTGGCTTTAAAATCTGAGAATGGGGCACCTGAGTAGCTTAGTCTGTTAAGTGTCTGACTTTGGCTCAGGTCATGATCTCACAGTTTGTGAGTTCAAGCCCCACATCCGGCTGTGTGCTGACAGCTCAGAGCCTGGAGCCTGCTTCACAGTCTGTGTTTTTCTCTCTCACTGTCCCTCTCCTGCTTGCACTCTCTCTCTCTCTTAAAAATAAATGAACATTAAAAAAATTTTTTTAAAACCTTGAGAGAAAGGAATTAATCCACTGTCATTTTTAAACTCTTATACAAGAGTGGCCAGGTGGCTCAGTTGGTTAAGCATCTGATTTTGGCCCAGGTCATGTTCTCATGGCTCATGGGTAGGTTCGAGCCCCGGGTCAGGCTCTGTGCTGACAGCTCAGAGCCTGAAGCCTGCTTCCGATTCGGTGTCTCTCTGTTTCTGTCCCTCCCCCACTCACACTCTGTTGTTCACACTCTGTCTCTCTCTCAAAAAAAAAAAAAAAATTAAAGAAAAGTTTTAAAAAATAAACTCTCATACATACATTTAATTTTCAGGATGTGACCCAACTGGAAAATGACCATCACAAAGAAAATTCCCTCTATTTAATAACAAACTTTAAAAATGTAAGTGAAAAGGATGGAAACACAAATTCCATTTATTTTCACTGATGATGATGTCACTCACTTGACACTTTCTACACCTCTTCAAAGAAAACGTTTTAAGTACCTAGTCATCAGCATAATCTTTTATAATCTCTTCCCTAGAGATCCAACAGTCATGTTTCCAAGTACGCCTCAAACATTAAGTGGAAACTATTCACCTACCCCCAGCCTGAATTTTGCCTTAACTTGGCTTTAACTGTAGTGGGGACTGTAATGGTAATGTCCAAGCTAAACCTAAATCAGTTTTAAAAATTACAAAATATTCATAGTTCCGTTTTCAGCAAAAGCTCTAGGTAACACCAGCCACAAGGGAGGTCACACTTCAACAAGTAGGTGTTGACACTGTATGCCCAGACCCTTGTGAAGCCCCGGGACCTCCTGGAAGATCAGGAAGCTCTGTAAGCCAGGGAGCTCAAAGAACTGCTTTTTGTAATAGCTACCACCTGAAGGGCACCTGCATGTTCACCCACATGGGGGGAATCCACGAAGTAAATCACAGCCTGTCACTCAACAAACTGCACGTCCAGCCCGGCCAGGCCCCGGGGATGGATGCGGCGGTCAGCCTGGCGCACACGGACGCAGTCCAGTGCGGCCAATACAAAGGACGCGGAAAAACGCGGGCAGCTGCCCGTGCTGCATCCTTCGGCCAAGAAGCCGGACTACAGCACCTCGCGATCTAGGCTCTCCACAAATACGATCTGCTCGTGCGTCCAGGGGAAAAGCGGCTGGGAGTGTATTATCCTAAGGTCGCATGGCCTGGCCGGGCGGGAGCGACCCGCGGCCTGCCGCCGGGTCCCGCCTCTGCCCTCTGGCCTGCCGACGGGATGCGTCCGGGACACCCCAGCAGTGCCGGATGCCTCACCCGCGGCGTCTCACGGTTCGCGTAAACACCGCCCACCGCCGGCAGCGCCCGCCGCCGCCACAGCCGCTGCCGCCGCCAGACATGGCCGCCGCCGCAGCCGAGGGCGCCCTTGGCTGCGCGCAGGGGCTTCTGGGGGCCGCCCCACCGGCGCCGCGGGGCTCACCTGGCCGCCGTGGACCGCGGGAGGCTCTGGGCTACGCAACGCGCGGGTTCCGGCTCTGCCGCTTAGGCCACGTAGGCTTCGCCGAGAACCGGACGCCTCTTCCGCCTAAGCTGAAAGCTCGGCAGCCGCCAGGCCCGTGCGCGCCGACTCTCTGTGGCGCTTCAGGTCCCCTGAGGTGCCCAGCGCGGGCCGTCACCCGCCCCCGCGCTCCGCAGACCCAGCCCCGCCCGCTGCCTCAGCTGACCGCTTAGTGGTCTCTGCTCGAGCACCCTCTCCCCAAACCTTAGGTCCTGCTCCACGTCCAGTCGTCCCGCCAGGCAAGGTTGGTAAGACCCGCTGATAGCAAGCGCGAGGCTGGACGCTGGGGATCAACCTGGTGGCAAAACCGGACCACGTGTCTTCTCAGAAGCCACCGGGCGGGTAAATCTGATTAAGGCATTCGTTCCTTGGAATCTGTTTATTTTGGCTCCTTGGTTCCATAAGGACCCAAACTCTTTAAGGGGGCATGAGCCCCCCTGTAGATTCTCAAATGATGCAAACTCACTCTCTCCGCCCCGCGGGCCCCTGCAGATGCTCTTTTCTCTGCTGGGCACTCCTCCCTGCCTTTTACCTTAGTTATCCTCCACTTTGTTGTGGCGCTTGCTCTTCAAATATCATTTCTTAAGGAAAACTATCTTGGCCCTGAAGACTTGCACCACTTGGAATTCCCCTTAGTTCCTGCCAGGGTGTGTAATTATTTGTGTAATTTTTGTTTAATGTGTAATTTAATAGTAGGCTGAGGTCCTTAAAGGCAGGTGCTATGGGTCCTTGGCTCTCACTCTTGTATCTCCCACATCAGCACAGTGCAAGATGCTGAGCAAGTATGTGAGAGAAAGGGAGGTTGAGGGACAATAGTAAACAGTCTATTAATAGATTAATCAGTCTGCAAAATCATAATGACTGAATTCTTAAGCAAATTATGTTACAAGGATTGTGCTTCATGAGCACTGATTTCTTGTTTGCTACCCTGGATTGAAAACTCCTCTAACACGAAGCCTTTTCATATTTGTATTTTTTTCTAAACCGGTGTCTGGAACAGAGAATTTGCAATGAATGTTGGAAGAATGAGTTAGGGGCAGAAGGTAAAAGGCTGCAGAGTGGAAATTTCCAGGGATGGAACAAGGCTAACTAAGACACCTCCCTAATTAATTTTTCCTAGTCCTGAGTTCTTCTAAGAAACAATCTGAGTTGTTGGGCTAGCGCCTGGAAAACCTTGGTTGGGAAGCAGCTCAGTGATACTGTTACAGGAGGAATCATATTTTATTGTAAAACTTTAGAAATCTGGGGGTGCCTGTGTGGCTCAGTCGGTTAAGCGTCCAACTTCGGCTCAGGTCATGATCTCGCAGTTCGTGGGTTCGAGCCCCGCATGGTCTCTGTGCTGACAACTAGCTCACAGCCTGGCGCCTACTTCGGATTCTGTGTCTCCCTCTCTCTCTTACCCTGCTCTGCTCACACTGTCTCTTTCTCACTCAGAAATAAATAAAAACATTAAAAAAAAAAAAAAGAAATCTGGATATGCTTGACAAGATCAAAAAGGTATAATTTATTGAATGCGTGCTATGTCCTTATATATTGTTGTCTAATTTTCACAATTGTCCTGTGCTTCTATTACAGAGCGACCCAAAGAAAGCACCTCAGGGGCTTCAGGGCCAGCACGTGGAGCAAGGCCTATGGGATTCAGCAAGTTCATGTTAACAGGGTCTGTTACTAGAAAAGTATTGATTGTTCTTGAAGAAAAATCTGGGCCTGTCCTTAGAGGCCTGGGAAGCTCTTTTCCTCGGGTGCTGCAGAAACATTCAGGAGGTACAGTCAAGTCTGCACCATGGATAAGCAGTGCAGTCTGAGTCCTCAGCTGGCTCGTTCCTGTTTTCTTTTTGGGTATACTTTCTCGGATACCTGGCGTTAAGGAACCTACCAGTTTGGGCTACATTTTCCATCTACTTATTCCCAGGGGGCCTAGGACCCTAGTAGAGGTATCAATAATTCCTTGTTACCAGATGGGATTGTTATAGAAAGACAGTCTGAAGAAAACACCGTGAAAGGTATTGAGCTGATTCTGCTTTTGACTTTACTTCCCCGTCTCCCATACTAATCTCTATGCCCAACATGGGGCTCAAACTCACAACCACAATGTCAAGAGTCACATGCTTTATTGACTGAGCCAGCCAGGTGCCACATGCTTTTGACTTATTCTCATTCTCAGATTATTGGTTTCCTAGGATGTACCTAGAGGCTGTTCTTTTTTTTTTTTTTTTTAATATTTTTATTTATTTCTAGGAGAGAGAGAGACAGTGTGAGCAGGAGAGGGTCAGAGAGAGAGGGAGATACAGACTCTGAAATAGGCTCCAGGCTCTGAGCTGGCAGTCAGCACAGAGNACTCTGAAATAGGCTCCAGGCTCTGAGCTGGCAGTCAGCACAGAGCCCGACGTGGGGCTCGAACCCACGAACCGCGAGATCATGACCTAAGGGAAAGTCGGACGCTTAGTCAGACCGACTAAGCCACCCAGGCGCCCCCCTAGAGGCTGTTCTTACCTCTTAAACTTCCTCTCTCAATTTGCCCATAGACATCAGTAATTGACTGATTTTTTTAAGATCTTATTTTTGGGGCAGCTGGTGGCTCAGTCGGTTGGGCGTCCTACTCTTGATTTTGGCTGAGAACATAATCTCACCATCATGGGATGGAGCATCACATTAGGTTCTGTGCTGGGTGTGGAGTCTGCTTGGGATTCTCTCTTTCTCTCTGTCCCTCTGCCCCTCCCCTGCTTTTGTGTGTTTGCTCGCTCGCTCTCTCTCTCTCTCTTTCTTTCTCTCAGATGGGGAAACAAAGATTTTGTTTTTAAGTAATCTTTATACGCAATGTAGGGCTTGAATTTATAACCCCAAGATTAAGAATCACATGCTCTACTTTAAAATTAAAAAAAAAAAAAAAAAAAAAAAAACACAGGCTCTACCAACCGAGCCAGCCAGGCACCTCATCAGTGATTTATTTTAGGACAGCAGCTAAAAATGTTTTTATTCACCATTCTCCATGTTTTCATTGGGCCTCCATTTAAAAAGGGAATTTTTTAAAAGTGTATTTATTTGAGGGAGGGAGGAAGGGGCAGAGAGAGAGAATCCCAAGCAGGCTCTGAGCTGTCAGTGAAGCCGGAGGTGGGGCTCCGTCTCAGGGACCATGAGATTGTGACCTTAGCCAAAATCAGGAGTCAGATGCTTAACCAACTGAGCTGACCCCAAAGGCCAACATGAACATAAATTTTGGTGTTTCCTTCTATAATTATATAGAAATTGTATACATAAATAGGTTATACCTGCTAGAATGGATATTATCTAAGAAAAGAAATACCAAGTGTTGGCAAGGATAGGAGAAAAGGAAACCCTTGTGCACTGTTAGTAGGAATGTAATTTGGTATAGCTACTGTGGAAAACAGTATGGAGGTTTTTAAAAAATTAAAAATAGAACTACACTGTAATCCAGCACTTTCATTTTTGGGTATTGATCACACACACACACACACACACACACACACACACACACACATTATGCAGCTGTAAAAGAGAAGGAAATTCTGCCATTTGTGACCACATGGATGGACCTCAAGCAGACTGTGCTAAGTGAAATAAGTCAGACAGAGAATGACAAATAATTCATATGTCTCTTATAGGTGGAATCTAAAACAAAAGCAGAAATAAGCTCATACCTAGATATAGAGAACAGATTGGTGATCATAAGAGGTTGATGGGGGGAGAAATGGGTGGAGGGGATGTACATCTATTTAAAAAATAATGAGAGGTGTTTTGAAAAATCCCACTTTGAATTATATATTGTCAGTTTATTATTACTAGTATATTTGGCTTGTGTCTACTATTTTACCTTTAGCTTTCTAATTGTCCCACCTCTATTCTGCTTTTTGTTCTCCTTTCTTGCATGCTTTCAAAAAATTAAAATTTTTATTTTTATGTTTATTTATTTTTGAGAGACAGAGAAAGAGGGAGAGGAAGGGGCAGAGAGAAAGGGAGACACAATCTGAAGCAGGCTCCAGGTTCTGAGCTGTCAATACGAGCACAACTCGGGCTTGAACTCATGAACCAAGAGATCATGACCTGAGCTAAAGTCAAACACTTAACCCACTGAGCCACCCAGGCGCCCCTCCTTTCTTGTGTTCTTAAAGATAGACTTAGGTTTTGTTTTCTTATTCTGCTTTTTCTGTCTACTGGCTTAGAAGTCATTGGCTCTATTCCTGTTCTTAGAATGGCTACCCTTGAAATTTTACATTGCATGCTTAAAGTATAGACATCCCCTTCCAAACAATACAAGGACCTTGAAATACTCTAACTCCAGTGCCTGCCCCCATTTTCATTTTAGTCTGTCCTTTTTTTCAGCCCACAAATTTGCCTTCATGATCATTATACTGTATTATACGATTATATGTTTGTTTAGATTTATCTACCTGTTTATAATTTTTTTCTCAATAATCCCTGTATGTCAGACTTGTCTTTGATCACTTTTCTTCTTTCTAAAATATATACTTAGAAGTTCTTTTAGCATAGGTCTTTTGGTGATTTAAAAAAAATTTTATTTTGAGATCATCGTCTCTGGGAGCTAGGGAGAGCCGCTGATCTGGACCCATTTTAACATGCTTCCAGGGGCCTGGTCAGTTCAGGAATCTTGGGCTCAGTTCCCCCTGACTTGGGGGATGGAAAAGAAACTATGTGGTCCTGATTGCTCCTGGTAGATATCTGGAAAATCACTTTAGTATGAATTTGAAACCTACCATGTTTACAGCAGGGCAGAGACTAACAGCAACTGGGTCCTTGATAACTCGTTGAACCATTGAGTTCACCAGCCTTAAAGTCTGTTTTGCATGTGGACTTTCTGTTATGTGAGATAATACATTTCCTTATTGTTTAAGAAAACAGTTTGAATTGGGTTTTCTATTATCTGGGGCGAAAATGATCCCAACTGACCTGTGATATTTGGTTTCCTGGCTACAATTAGGGCAGCTATACTCAGAAGAGTGGGAAAATCAACTTGTTGTCTTGGAAAAGGCAAGCAGTGGGAATCTGTGTT